AAATCGATCTAAAATAAAACAGCCCAAACTTAGCACAACTTGGAAAGGAACCGAATACGAAGCAGTGTCGTCGTTCGGTTCCTACATCGTGGTGGTTACATTGTGCCGGCAAACTGCGTCGCGATCGAAAACGAAAACAACGGACGAAACGGTAGTGAACGTCTGCGGGAAAGAACAAAAAGATCCCGCGTGCGCTTCGTTTCCCCGTTTCGACGCAGGTCTTTCCCAACATTTCTCCGATTTCGCTCGTATTAGAACCGTTTCTCGCTATCACGACGTAACAAGGTGATAATAGTAATTAGCTGCGATAATACTAATAGTAGAGTGATTAGGAATAGCAGTAAATATAGTCGTAATTAGAATATTTACGATGACAATAATATCGTTCTTAATAACCATAATAAGAAAGTATTTTCTACCGTATGTATAATATATATAATATTCGTCCTATATAACAGTCTTTTTGGCCTAACCATCTCGAGCTATAAACAATAAAACAATTTCATCCCTCCCCTCGTCCGTGCCGTCTCGTGCATCATCTTCACCGCGATTAAAAAAAATTAATTTCTTACTCTTTATTCACTCGTTTTTCAACTCTCGCTTTATACTGTCCACTTTTCTCTCGATCTCCTCTTCTCTCCCTTTATCGTGCTCTGTCTCCCTTTTCACCATTCTTTAAACCTACGATTCCTTTTCTATTTACTGTCGCGCGTGTACTCGGCTAATATCTTACCCTCGCTAAATCGGTTTTACTCTAACGACTATGACTAAGAAAAAAGGATGTACTTTAAACCGTCGACTCTAAGCGGATCCACGGTCACGTGTGTCCCTCTGTATTGTTGTCCTATCATGGATGAGGATACGGTGTGTCGGATCGCGTGCAAAGACTTATACCGAGCGTCTCACGCATACAATATATACGTACGTATAATACATACATAAGCATTACGTGAAGGTGATACGTCCTCTAATCGTTCCTACATTTATAGATCCGTCCGCCATGTGTCGCGACGTTCACACAACGTTCACTCGCTCAGAGAATAATGTTAATATTGACACTGGCCCAAGTTTCGACATCGGTGAATGTGTTTATCGTTCGAAAAGGAGAACAAAGAAGACGAAGTCGAAGAAGAAGAAGAAGAAAAAGTAGTCAAAGTGAAAATCACTACGATGAGACAACGACGAAACGGCGGGAAGTGTTGTCGATCGAACGTTCAGATCCCGTCACGGGGAGAGTTAAATGCTTTCGACCGACGCTCGTTTGTCTTGTCGAACGAATTTACAGACGGCGTCAATAGATGTGAGCGTCGCAGTGATAAAAAGTAAAACGGGAAGGGAAGGGAAGCGGCCGACGACTATTCGAGGCGGGATTCGTGTTTCATTCGACCGAAGACGGTTGCGCTTCCGGTTCCGCGACGGAGACCTCGCGTATGATGAACCGATGATCGAGCTGCAACGGAGACGAAAGTAAAAGAAAAATAAAAATGATTCGTGCGTTGAAGAATAAAAATCACGATACACAATTGTTTTCCTCCCTTTATCTTTCTCGCATTGTCTCTCCCACATTTTTCTCTCTAAATCTAGTAAAAATTATGATAATAATAATAATAATAATGCAATAGCGTGTTTTCTTGTATAATATTGTCGCACTGAGCTCTGTCCCTTTGCGAAAGAAAAACAAAGAAAAATAATGTTTGAATGACTATGTACACTTAACAAACGCGTGATAAG